TCCCACCCCCCGGTTTTGCCCCCGCCCCTCGCTCAGCCAGTGAGCGAGAACCGGTCTGTATGTGGGATCCGAACCCTCGGCGGGAGCGCTGCCGCGCTCCCAAGCGGTGCACTGTAGCAGTGCACCACCGGGCCGGCCCAAGAATGCATTTTTAAATTTCCTAAGTGTATTTGCTGTTTTCCTAAAAGCATTATACTTGGAATCATTACCCATATAAGCCAAGTGCTCATGTTTACATGCTCTATGAAGCCTAATTTTCTTTAATAATAGGAGAGGATACAACTTTTATAATAGGTCCTGAACTATTTGTCTCTCATTATATATTGAGGTGGAAATTTTTGAAATTTTGAAGTATAAATAGACAATGGAGAATTTTTTTAATGATTTGACTACACTTGTGAAGAAAGAGAAACTTGTTTCATTTATAAGTAGCATTTTTTGTAGTTGTTATAAAAGTAAATTATTTTGGTAATGTTTATAATATAATTTATTATATGAATAATGTATCTATATAAACAAGCTGTATCATATAGGGAAATAAATATCTTTGATTCTCATATTGTAAGAACACTGGTAGCCAGAGTATTACATGAAATAATCATTCCTAAAGTTTCAAATATTTACTTTTCCTCTATCTCATATTTGTTGCCTTTCACCATTTTTACTTGAAATGTTTTATTATTCCAATCACCAGATAGTTGTATGAATTTGGACAGCCACAGGCAATTAAATTGCTAACTTATTGGTTACATAGAATACCTATCAAAGATTTGTTTAAATATATTGTTATCTTGTAGCTTTATTTCATACTGTTGCTAGCCAACTTATTTGGATGCTTGATGTTTGCTGTAGGCATTTTCGGAGAGTTCTCTTAAAGTCACTTCAAAAGGACCTACATGAGGAAATGAACTATATCACTGCAATAATTGAGGAACAACCCAAAAACTATCAAGTTTGGTAAGATGAAAACAGGAGGAAAATATGTTTGTGCTAATAGTACTTGCAAATGAGTGATGAGATTATAGGAAATTTTTTTTTTTTTTAGTATTTTGTGTACCTTAAATTGGAGCTAATGTTAACTACCTCATAGAATTGTCAGGAGAATTAAATGAGATAACTTTATACTTAGCATTCAAAATGGTACCTGACCATAGTTAGCACTCAAATGTTAGTTGCTATTATTATTTAAAGTTTAATGTCAGTATATGATACTGCCAGAATCAGAAAAAAAATTGAGTAAAAAGCCTGAGAAATGTTTCTTATTCAGTGTATTATGAAATGGACTTCTGGTATTTGATTCATTTGTTTATTCAAAATTTTTTATTGATGCTAGGGATACAAGGTGAACCAGACACAATCTAAAGGGAAAAGCAAATAATAAAACCAATTATTTTACAGAACAGTGTGAAAAAGTACAGTGGCAGAGTTTTTCACAGGGTATATTTGTTCTAGAAATTAGGCCCTTCGGTTAGCATTGACAGGAGTATGGGAATTGTTATGGGTTGGGGCAGCAGAACACAATAGGAAACAAGCGAGACATTACAGAGCAGGAGAACAAAGAACAAATAAGGAAGAAACAGAGAGTTTGTCCAGTTCTAGGCAGCTAGTGAGCAGCCCATGAGCGGCAGCTGCATTACTGCTGTTGCTGTGGTGGAGACAGAGAGGACGCAGTGAGGTGCAGCACCAGGAGCTCCTCCTGCCTCTTGTGCCATGACTGTCTGCTCACAATGTAGCACTTACTACATCTTACCTTTCCCAGCATGATGACCTGCACACGTGCCTCACGATCTTTATGCCTGAGATTTTAGGAAAACTTTTGAAAGAAAGGGCCTGTAAGACAAAGAAAACATTCTGGATAGAAGTGTGAAAGAGGGTGGTGCACTCAGGGAACTGCACTTAATTTCATGTGATTAGATTACATTTAGGGAGTCATGGAGGGACAAGATTATAAAGGGCCTTATGAGCGTTGATAAGGGGATTTGAGATGAACTTAGTGGCCATAGAGAGCTACTGACAATTTTTAATTAATTTTAATTATGCTTAATTAATATGATTAGATTTGTGTCTTACAAAGTTTACCCTGACAGCAGGGTGGAGGATGGACTGGAGTCGATTTATGATCCTGGCTAACAGAGTAGGCAGGGGGAAAGGGGTAGGAAGAGGAAAGAGGTCACGTAAGAGTGGGTTGAATTATAAATGGCAAATGAAGAAGCTTGGCTGTTGAGAAATGAAGACATAGTGAGTAGCTAGTTAGGGCTACGTTTTTGTTTGTTCTTCAAGGTGGTAAAGACTTCATGGTGAGGGGAGAGTGTTAATACAAAGAGAGAGGTTGAGAATTCTGTAGAAAAAGGGGGACAGAGTGAAGGTTTAGAGTTGGGAAGGTATCTAGTACGTAGGTGAGCCTTAGGGGAAAGAGCAGCTTCATCACAAATGTGGGTAGTGAACTGCTCTCTGACCCAGCTAGGTAGTAGTCTGCATAATCAAATATTATCATTAAAGGAGTGTATAACTGTACATATGTAACTAATTTTCAAAGAATTAGAACATAAGAGACTAACAATGAATAACACATTGTTTGGCAAAGCGTTGAAATGGTAGCCGCTGTACAGGTTTCCATTTCTAGGCTTTTATGTAGTTAAACAACTGTACTGCTGTAGCCTCTTTGTTCATAACTGGATTGTTGCATTCCTAAAAAACTGCATTATGACATAGTTGTTCTAGTGAGAAAAGAGATTAGCTTGAGAGTTTCAGACCCTCACTAAAAAGTTATCTACTTGTGGAATTAAGGCACTTTTATTAAAAATCTGTAGCTATAAAATCTAAGACATCACAAACATTCTCAGTGTTTGATTACATCTAGTTTTTGCTAAAGAGACATAGCTTTTCTGTATACTGCACACATTGTTGTTAACACTTTATCACCTGTTGTTATGAAAAATAAAACACAAAACCACCCGAAGCAGCTGCTGTTTAAAAGCCAGCAGTTTTTTAATTGTACTACATTTTAAATGGCTCACTCTGCTAGAAGGTAAGATACTACCAAGGTAAAAATCCTAGAGAGAAAGGTTCCTGATAAATTCTGTAATTTAGGAAAAACTTAAGAATTAGATCCTCCAGGGCCGAGCCCGTGGCGCACTCGGGAGAGTGCGGCGCTGGGAGTGCAGCAGCGCTCCCGCCACAGGTTCGGATCCTATATAGGGATGACCGGTGCACTCACAGCGCTCACTGGCTGAGCGCGGTGCAGCCGGTCTCAAAAAGGGCAAAAAAAAAAAGAATTAGATCCTCCAGGGCCGAGCCCGTGGCGCACTCGGGAGAGTGCGGCGCTGGGAGTGCAGCAGCGCTCCCGCCACAGGTTCGGATCCTATATAGGGATGACCGGTGCACTCACAGCGCTCACTGGCTGAGCGCAGTGCAGCCGGTCTCAAAAAGGGCAAAAAAAAAAAGAATTAGATCCTCCAGTATATCAAACTGACTTCTGAGAAAAAAATACTAAGATGTTTTGTTGTAGCCAGTATAGTACAAGTAATGCAAATGCTGTATCCTAACTAGTTGATCACTTTTTATTAACTCTCAGTGTGAATACTTATGCTGTAAGATAAACCCCTGTATTTAATACTCTGTAAATCATAGAATATCAGAGAGAACCTCTTAGTATTTTTTTCTGAGAAGTCAGTTTGATATACTTGAGGACCTAATTCTGTTTTTTTTTGGCAACGCAGTGAGGTGCAGCACCACTCTCAGTGTGAATACTTATGCTGTAAGATAAACCCCTGTATTTAATACTCTGTAAATCATAGAATATCAGAGAGAACCTCTTAGTATTTTTTTCTGAGAAGTCAGTTTGATATACTTGAGGACCTAATTCTGTTTTTTTTGGCACCTGTCTACTACGGGGATCCAAACCCTTGACCTTGATGTTATAACACTGTGCTCTAACCAACAGAACTAACCAGCCAGCTCTGAGGATCTAATACTTTTTTTTTTTTTTTTGAGATGGATTTTTATCTACTTTACTGAAATTACACTGCTATTATTATTATTTTGGCAGTTGGCTGGCATGGGGATCTGAACTCTTGACCTTGGTGGTACAAGGCTGTGGCCTATCCAATTGAACTAAACAGCCAGCCCTAATTCTTAACTTTCTCCTAAATTAATAGAATTTACCTACAACCTTTCTCTCTGGGATTTTTCTCTTGGTAGTATCTTACCTTCTTAATATTCTGTAAGGTGAATTTTAAAATTTTTCATGCATGTAAATAGGTCATTCATTAAGCCTTAAATTCTTCCCCTTTCCCTTATTACTCTAATAGATTTTTTAGAAAGTCAACCTTATTGAGATATAATTCACATAAAAGTTCATCTGTTTAAAATGGACGATTAAAGGGCCGGCCCGTGGCTCACTCGGTAGAGTGTGGTGCTGGTAATACCAAGGCCATGGGTTCAGATCCCTATATAGGGATGGCCAGTTGCTCACTTGGGAGAGCGTGGTGCTGACAACACCAAAACAAGGGTTAAGATCCCCTTACTGGTCATCTTTTTTTTTTTTAAAGACAGATAAGAGGATCTCGACCCTCAGCACGGTGTGGTCCGCACCACGCTCAGCCAGTGAGCACACCGGCCATCCCTATATAGGATCCGAACTCGTGGCCTTGGTGCTACCAGCATCATTGAAGAATAGTAGATTTTTAATATTTTAAAAATTGAATTTGTATCACATCATATGTTTGCTAGCAAATTGAGTATAGAAGTAGTAAATTTTTAATACAGCTGTATTTATTAGTAAATAAGATATTTTAATTAAAAAGGGCATATTACATATTAAGGTTTTTGCATACATAAACTGGAATATGATTTTTATAGTAACTATTATGTATTTTATTTTTATCCATGTGTTGAAATTTTATGCTAAATCCTTAGAATAGTTATAACTCCCACTCTGGGCATTTTATTTATTCTAGCAAATAGTTCTGATGTTGTTTCTTGTGAATTTTTCCAGGGATTGCTACTTTCTGCACTATTCATTATACCAAGAGCATTTCACCGAAAGTTTTTTGCTTAAAATTTTAAGCTTTTCCAAATTTGATTAAAGGAATATTTTTTCTGAAAGTGTTTAGTTTTAATGAACCCTTAAGAAATAGAACATTACCAATATCTTTGAAAAGTCCCCACACCTGGTAGTTTCTTACTGAAATTATCATAAAAGGTTCACATGAGAAAGGATTCTAAAATAGTCCTAAATTGTGTTGTAGCTTTTAATTTTCTATAAATAAAGTATACATAATTTTCTCCCTTGTTTTCACATTTGATATATTATGGTCTCATGTCTCCAAGATAATTTTTAAAAGATAAGATTAATTTCAACTATGATGACGGGCAAATGAATCTGAAAACTGAAGAGAATTTATCCATTTTTATATGCTGAATAAAAAGGATGGAGATACTTGTCTCAAGGTTAAAAGAGGTTAGAGCACAATGCTGCTAACACGGAGGTCAAAGGCTCAGATCCTCATGCTGGCCAACCGCCAAAAAAAAAAAAAAAGGGTTGGAAGTGGGACGTATATATATTAATGTAAGTCAGTACTTCTCCAGCAGTGGTGATCATGCCCTTGGGGACATTTGGCCATGTCTGGAGGCATTTTTGGTTGTCACAAGTTGGGGCATGGTGCTACTGGCATTTAGTGGGTATAGGGCAGGGATACAACTAAATATCCTAACATGCACAGATTTTAGGATATTAGACATCACAAAGAATTATCTGGCCCCGACTGCCAGTAGTGCCAAGCCTGAGAAACCCTGGTCTAAGTCTTATTTCTATATGGAAGGCTGTTTTTTAATATTTTAGTTATTTTTATTGAAGATTTAAGGAATTACTTAAAATGAGAAAGTTCTTTAAAAAATATTTTAGGACATACATATTATAAATGTGACAGAATCTTAGTTGTAAACATTAGTGTTAAACATTAATTATAAGCTTTCATGAATACCTGGCTTGCATGTTACTTGGCATTGACCTGTTAAAGTTAACCATACCAGTGTTTCCCAGGTGAAGGAGGGAAAGACCCTTCTTTCCTCCTCGAGCATCACAGATTGGATATATTTTACTGCGTTTTATATGTATCCTGTTTAGTAAAATACAATAAAAGTGAATTACTTTAAAAATGAAATAAACACACAGAGAAACCTGTGGAATACTACTCAGCAATAAAAAGGAATGAGCTATTGATATGTAAAACAACCTGGATGGATCTCAAGGGCATTATATTTTGTGAAAAAGGACATTCTCAAAAGGTTTCGTACTGCATGATTCCATTCCATTCTTGAAATATCAAAATTGTAGAGTTGGAGAACAGACCAGTGGCCAGGGGTTAGGGAAAGGGGGGTGCAGCTGTAAAGGGGTAGCATGAAAGTTTCTGTGTGGCAAGGAACAGTTCTATATCTTGATTGTAGTGGTGCTTACACTGTACATGAAATAAATTTGCATGGAACTGTAATCTACCACCACAACACCCTGCCCCCCACCACACACACACGAACAGGTACATAGAAAATCTGAATAAGGTCTGCAGTTTTGTTAACAATAACGTTCCAGTGTCGTTAGCCTGCTTTTGGGATTGCACTTTAATTAGTAAGATGTTACCATCTGGGGAATCTTAAGTGAAGTGTATACACTTCCTATGAGTCTAAAACAAAAACACACATACATGTAAAATACCATCCCCAATTTTTTATTGTTAGATTCAATAGGCGTAAAATTGTTGGTACATTGATTTAAAAATTTCTAAGTGCTCGTTCTCCTCTCTATACTTAGCATGTTGCAGACTGCTCATGGTTGCAGCAGCCCACGCAAGTGTCACTGGGCTCCACTACCCATCAGCACACAGGGATTCTCACAAGAATGCTGTCTTCCTTAATGCATGTGTTTTTATGATCGCCTGTAAAAGTCATACTGAAATTCTCACTGTTTGCTATTATCAAATAAGAAGTACAGCTCCATTCGCTTTTTCATAGATAGTGTCGCCAATTTTTGTTGCATTTGGAAGTTTTGACCATTCGTCTTTTTCAAATTTCTTTATTGCTTCTCTTCCCCCCCCATAATTTTTTTATTAAAACAGCTTTATAATGTAAAAATTTATATCTAAATCCAATTTTGTATATTTCTGTGCATATATTTTAATGTAATTTTATCATATATGTGCATTTTTAATGCTGCCCTTTTACTTAATGTTAGGTATTAATATAAATTACATAAAATTTGTGTACTATACTTATACTGTAGTTATTCATTCTCTTACTAGTGAGTTTGGGGTTTTTTCCTCTAAGTTTTCTTTGACATCTTCTTTCCTTTCTTCTCTGTATGTCTTCCCAGGCTCTGTTCTCAGTTCCATTCTTCTGTCTCCTCTGTTTCCTTGATGTGCAACTGTGACTTCCCTCCAGATACATGATAAATCTTACTTCTTCAGTTCAGTCTTCTTAGCTTTGATGAAGTTTTATTTATCTTTATTGTTTATAAATAATGAGACATTTCTAATTGGTTTTTTTCTTTTAGGAATTTAAACTTTGGGAGAATGAGCTGCAGTATGTAGAACAACTTCTCAAAGAGGATGTGAGAAATAACTCTGTCTGGAACCAAAGATACTTTGTCATTTCTAACACCACTGGCTACAATGATCGTGCTGTATTGGAGAGAGAAGTCCAGTTAGTAATCTCCTTCCCTTGCTCATTCATTAAGAAAAATATTTATATGCCTACCATGTCTCAGGCATTGGGGATACAACAAAGATCAGAATGCCCCAGATCCTACCCTCTTGGAACTAAAGTAGGATGGAATACTAAGATGTAACATATAATGGAAAATTTACCCATAATATACCTCTACTTTGTAGTGTCTTGAGTTTTTTGAAATATTGTTGCTACTAGAGATTGAAAGGAAATCAGATTTCATAGTGTCAGAAAGCTATATTTTAAAACTGTGTAGGGCTGGCCCGGAGGCGCACTCAGTAGAGTGCGGCACTTGGGAGTGCGGTGGCGCTCCCGCCAAGGGTTCGGATCCCATATAGAGACCNAAGCTTGTTATAAGAGCTAGAAATTTCTGGATTGGCATGAATTTCCATATTATATTCATAAGCTGCAATAGTCACTTCTTTTCTGAACTTTTTTGTCCAGTTTGGGTTTTTTTGTTTGGTTTGGTTTGGTTTGATTCCCAAGTTTTATTCAAGAACTCATTCAAAATATTCCAGATAAATGAGTTTTAATCCTCATCTTCCTCTTCCTCTTTGTCCTGGTTAATCTGGAAGTAACGTAATTCATAATTCTTTGCTGTTAGCCACCACACACAACCAATCATGTAGATTGTTCTTCAAATATTTTTTGGTGAGATATTTCAAGTACCTTTTAGAAAAAGACACCTCAGAAGTTACAGTGATCTTGTTCTTGCTCCTTTTGATGGTTACAGCTCCTCCGTTGAGATTCCCAGCTTTTCCATGCACTTCGTTTCTTTCTTGGAGAAACTGCTCAAAATTGGCAGCATCCATGATTCCATCTTCTGTGGGTGGGTGCAGTCAAGGGTGAGCTTCAGAGTCTGCTTCTTTTTTGTGTGTGTGCCCCTTTGCCACACACTTTTTCATGGGTACCATGGTGGCAGCAGAGGCAGAAAGGGCTTTCCATTTTGTCTGTGTCTGTTTTGCAATTTGAACATGCTTACTGTTTTGAAAGCCTGATGACACCATAGTCATAATTTTAATCATAAGTTGTTTTAACAGCTGCTGGAAAGAGCTGGTTTTTATGCCTCTGAGCTCCCTTGCCTTCTCTTCTGCTTGGATCAAGACAGCTAGCTCTTTTATTAGTGCTATCTAGGGTTTAGGTGGTTGAAATTTTTTTTTTTTTTTAAAAGTCTTCAATTCAATCCTATATTAACTCTGCTTAAGGCTTGTGTCTGGAGCAGATCTCCTGCCAAAGCTGCACTGTGCAGTATGGTCACTACTTACCCACATATGGTTGCTTATCTTGCAATTAATTATTACATAAAATCAAAGATACAATCCCTCAGTTGCACTAGTCACATCTTAGGTGTTCAGTACCCACATGTGGCTGGTGACTATCATATTGGACAACACAGATAAAGAATATTTCCATCACAGGAATTCTGCTGAATAATATTAGTCTAAACAATAAGAGTGGACTTAATGAAATTATTTTATTGTTATTATTTTTGTGGCAGCTGGCCGGTACGGCAATCAAACCTTAGACCTTGGTGCTATCAGCACCACACTCTAACCAAGTGAGCTAACCAGCCAGCCATAATTTTATTATTCTTAACTCAGCCAAATACTGGGGATTAAGTAGAGAAAATTCAGGCTCTTATCCAGCATTCTATGTATTACTTGGTTTTTTGGTTTTTTTGTGCTAAAGTTGCTATTTTGTTGTGAATATATTTTTAAAAATACTCTGAGGGAAAGCAAAGCTTTCTTGCCTGAAGGTACAATCCTTCAGGTTATTCCACCTCGAGCTAACCGAATTAATAATTAATACATTTTAAATATTGCATATTGCTGGGCCGAGCCCGTGGCGCACTCGGGAGAGTGCGGCACTGGGAGCGCAGCAGTGCTCCCACTGCGGGTTCAGATCCTATATAGGGATGACCGGTGCACTCACTGGCTGAGCGCGGTGTGGCTGGACTGGGAGCGCAGCAGTGCTCCCACTGCGGGTTCAGATCCTATATAGGGATGACCGGTGCACTCACTGGCTGAGCGCGGTGTGGCTGGGCTCAAAAAGGACAAAAAATAAATAAATAAATAAATAAATATTGCATACTGCTTATATACTATGTCTTCATTAGATTAGGAGGAACAAAATATTTAAAAATTGATTATAAAGAGTTTGGAAAATGCAAACTTCTCTTTTAGCCTTCTGTCTCAGATCACTGGCTTTCTGTTAACCAAATAGAAACAGAAATAATCAGTGAAGAATCTAAAAGAGCTTTCCATACTTAAAGTTTATTATCCCCTCAAGTTGTATAAAAGAAATATCTAAAATGTTAATAGTAGCTGCAGTTACCTAGAATTTACAGTTTGTTAATTCAATTTTTTAAAATATAGGCAGATGTACCTGATTTTTTTAATCTTTTCCTTTTATTATAAAAATAATGCATGTAGTTGTCACAGGATATCATACTGAATTATCCATAAAGTAGAAAGTCAAAATCTCTTATTCTTCCTTCTCCCAAATCCCATTCTCTAGAGTGAGCTACAATTGTATGAATTCTTCCATACTTTATAAATACATTTGCAAATATTTATGCAGAGCAACTTAGGCAGTTAGGTTACCAATGTTACTTTTTTCACTTAATGTATCATGGCCATATTTCCATGAGTACACAGTTTACTAATACTATTAATAATAGCATTTGTCAAGCATTTACTGTTTGCCAGAATTTCTTACTTTTTTCTTAAAACAACTCTCTGAGGTGCATCGTGAAGAACTTGAGGTTCTAAGTAATTCTGTTATTCATCTAAGAGTACATAGAATAATTGAAAGGACTAGGATTTGAGGCTGGTCAGTCTGACCTCAAAGTCCATGTTTTAGCCATTAAAGTATGTAATGCTTTAGTGTACATGTATGTAAATAAAAATTAAGGTATGGCCAAAATGAAATCTTCTACATGAAAATGAATCTCTACAGAAAAGTACTAGCTGAGACCTGCAGGGACATGGTTTTACAAATAACTGAAAACATTAGGTCGTGTAAAAGAAGTTGGAAAAATCTTTTCATAATATTGAAGGAGTTTATTATTAATCTCTGTAAAAGAAATCCTATTGTGACAACACTGCAACAAAATCAAGACTACTAAGCTTTAGTAAGTGACTTACTCATCTGAGCAAGTACCTGCTGAAGCAACGTTCTATAACTTCCTTGGAATTTGTGGTAATCAGATCTGGATTATATTTAATAATTTGGTTAAGGGGCAGAGAAAGGGAGTGTCCATTTTTTTTTTTTTTTTGTCTTTTTCCGTGTCCGGCAACGGATCGCAACCCTCAGTGTCGCCCCCGCACCGGACCGGGACCGGCAACGGGACCGCAACCCTCGGTGTTGCTCCCGCGCCTCGCTCAGCCAGTGAGCGGGAACCGGTCTGTATGTGGGATCCGAACCCTCGGGCAGGAGCGCCGCCGCGCTTCCCAAGCAGCGCACTATCCAGTGCGCCACCGGGCCGGCCCCGGGAGTGTCCTTTTTGACTGGGAATCACATCAAGTTTACTAGTAATCTTGTTTTGGGATATAAGAAGTATATATTTTTGTTAGTTTTTAAATTTTTATTCTTTGTATAATTTCCATGCTGTCTGTTTCTTATTATGTTAGTTTTCCTCTTTTAATGACTAAGGATTTATCAGGTGTAAGTAGATCTTAGACTTTTTTCGCAAGGTTGCTTTATTGATAAAAGGAAAGTCTCTTTGGTTTAGCTGACATTTCCTTGAGAAGGAAAGTCTTCTGTAGGAAATCTTTCCTTCTGAAGGAAATCTTTCATATTACTTTCTTTTTCTATTGTGAATTGAAGCCTTTATGTTAGTTTTAACTGAAGGAAATCTTTCATATTACTTTCTTTTTCTATTGTGAATTGAAGCCTTTATGTTAGTTAAGTGTCCTTCCTTGGAACTGGATACAAATATATAGGAGGGAGGAACTATGTAAATAAGAGTTGACAACTGCAGACTTAAGGGATTCCCTAATTCAGATGTGACATAGAGAGGAACCAAAGGCCACCAGAGAGAAAGAAGCGAAGACTGACATGTCTCCACACTGTGCCATAGTCTTGTTAGAACTACGTCTAATCATTCCACTGCTCTTTTAAAATTATATATCTGTTTAATTGTAATTTTTTTTTTCTTTCAGGTACACTCTGGAAATGATCAAACTAGTACCACATAATGAAAGTGCATGGAACTATTTGAAAGGGTAAGAGGTTGTTTTTGTTTGTTTTATATAAAAAACAAACAAGCTGCTAATATGATGCATTATGAAATATATTCCATAATCACATTCCAAAGGGATATTAAAGAATTTTCCATTTTTCTTGACCTAAAGAGGAGAAGTATAACAGTGTTCTGGTAACTCCCAAGAACAGTGCCCTCTACCTCTCTTCACCTCCCAAGCACATGCCAACACAGTTTTTAGAACAATCCATGCATAAACAATAAGTCAGTTTTAATTGTATTTATGAATCCTGTAGTCTTTATGTCAAAGAATAGAATATATACACCCAAGTGTCTTCAGCTCAGGAAGAGTAAAGCAGGGTAGACTATTTACAAGCAGATTGCACAGATGGGTAGCCAGCCTTTCTGTTTTCATTTCTAAAGGTCTCCAGTTACCAGTTTACTTCTTAAATAGAAAAGGTTTCACTTGCCTGGCCACTGATATAACCAAGCTTCTTGTTGAACCTAGAGGTCTTCAAGGAAATTAGGCCCGACGAGCAGGAAGTATGGAATCCGGTCACATTTGGAGTTGTGTGAGGGATGCGACCTATAATATCTGGAGAGCTAAAGGGATAAGGAACTGTCTCAGTAAAAAGCAGGAACATCTCTCCTGTTTATTTCTTATCACATGCTTTTTAATTGTAGGAAGATTTATTTTCTGCTTTAATTTTGTGTATTGCAGANTTGATAAAAGGAAAGTCTCTTTGGTTTAGCTGACATTTCCTTGAGAAGGAAAGTCTTCTGTAGGAAATCTTTCCTTCTGAAGGAAATCTTTCATATTACTTTCTTTTTCTATTGTGAATTGAAGCCTTTATGTTAGTTAAGTGTCCTTCCTTGGAACTGGATACAAATATATAGGAGGGAGGAACTATGTAAATAGGAGTTGACAACTGCAGACTTAAGGGATTCCCTAATTCAGATGTGACATAGAGAGGAACCAAAGGCCACCAGAGAGAAAGAAGCGAAGACTGACATGTCTCCACACTGTGCCATAGTCTTGTTAGAACTACGTCTAATCATTCCACTGCTCTTTTAAAATTATATATCTGTTTAATTGTAATTTTTTTTTTCTTTCAGGTACACTCTGGAAATGATCAAACTAGTACCACATAATGAAAGTGCATGGAACTATTTGAAAGGGTAAGAGGTTGTTTTTGTTTGTTTTATATAAAAAACAAACAAGCTGCTAATATGATGCATTATGAAATATATTCCATAATCACATTCCAAAGGGATATTAAAGAATTTTCCATTTTTCTTGACCTAAAGAGGAGAAGTATAACAGTGTTCTGGTAACTCCCAAGAACAGTGCCCTCTACCTCTCTTCACCTCCCAAGCACATGCCAACACAGTTTTTAGAACAATCCATGCATAAACAATAAGTCAGTTTTAATTGTATTTATGAATCCTGTAGTCTTTATGTCAAAGAATAGAATATATACACCCAAGTGTCTTCAGCTCAGGAAGAGTAAAGCAGGGTAGACTATTTACAAGCAGATTGCACAGATGGGTAGCCAGCCTTTCTGTTTTCATTTCTAAAGGTCTCCAGTTACCAGTTTACTTCTTAAATAGAAAAGGTTTCACTTGCCTGGCCACTGACATAACCAAGCTTCTTGTTGAACCTAGAGGTCTTCAAGGAAATTAGGCCCGATGAGCAGGAAGTATGGAATCCGGTCACATTTGGAGTTGTGTGAGGGATGGGACCTATAATATCTGGAGAGCTAAAGGGATAAGGAACTGTCTCAGTAAAAAGCAGGAACATCTCTCCTGTTTATTTCTATCACATGCTTTTTAATTGTAGGAAGATTTATTTTCTGCTTTAATTTTGTGTATTGCAGAGTTTGTTATAAAAGATCACTTTTAAGCTTTTTAAAAAAAAAACAAATTTTATTCAGCTCTTATCCTTGATAAGGCTCACATAATTTAAAGTTTTCATTTAGTTTGGGCCCCATTCATTCAAAATAAGGCTCCTTTATTGCTTATTTCAGGGGTTTTCTCCTGATCTTTGTTCTTCTCAAAACTGAGTTTGTTTTTTTAGGATTTTGCAGGATCGTGGTCTTTCCAAATATCCCAATCTGTTAAATCAACTACTTGATTTACAACCAAGTCACAGTTCTCCCTACCTAATTGCCTTTCTTGTGGATGTCTATGAAGACATGCTGGAAGACCAGTGTGACAACAAGGAGGACATTCTGAATAAGGCACTGGAGGTAAGCTGTGCTTTTCTTTTTAGAATCTCCAGATTGGGTCTGCACAGCGCTAATACTCATGTCACTTTTCAATGCAGTTACTCAGAATTCAATGTGGGGCTGTTTTTGTTTAGGGCGGTATCCACGTCACTAGTGAACATAGCATGTGACTGTGCTGATATGTCTCATTTGAACATGATCTGAGTTAAGTTGTGGTGGATTGAATTACATCCTTACTTTAACAAATTTTTCTCTTCCTTTTTTAGTTATGTGAAATCCTAGCTAAAGAAAAGGACACTATAAGAAAGGAATATTGGAGATATATTGGAAGATCTCTTCAAAGCAAACATAGCACAGAAAGTGACCCATCAACAGATGTATGGCAATAACACCATCCAGAAGAACTTGATGGAATGCTTTTATTTTTTTAAGGGACTCATGCAGGACTTTAAAACTAGAGTGATCATTCCCTTGGCCTGTGGTGTAAAACATGCCTTGCACGGGTGTTGCTTTTTAACAAGAACTAAGTGTGATGCTCCTTGAGTGCTGCTGCTATTCTGACTAGCTCTAAGTAATTTGATTCTTTTAAAGCAAGGTAATTGGAGGGGAGGGGGAAGAAAAAGTTCTATAAAGAAAATTTGTAGGGCCGGCCCGGTGGCGCACTGGAGAGTGCGGCGCTCCCGCCGAGGGTTCAGATCCCATGTGGAGACCGGTTCCCGCTCACTGGCTGAGCACGGTGCGGGCGCAACGCCGAGGGTTGCGATCCCATTGCCAGTCCCCGGTACGGGCGTGACACCGAGGGTTGCGATCCCGTTACCAGTCAGTAAAAAAACACAAAAAGAAAAAAAAAAAAAGGAAATTTGTAGTTCTAAAAACATTTAATCTAGTCCATTAGCATCAACTCCTCCCTAAACGGTATGTGTGTCAGGATTTGTAGCAGTAATGATTGCAGGTAGCTTGTACGTAATGGATATGAGGTAACTTAAACTTTGGTTCAGTAAGTAGGGAATACAATTGTTACATTAGAGCTGCTATGCCACACTCACAGTTATCTTGCTATCTCTGTAACCAACTAATGCCAAAAGAATGGTTTTGTAATAAAACTATAAATGTATCTAAAAACAATGCCATAGTAATTTGATTTATTTTAAAATAGTATTTAACTATAAACAAGAGACAGTGTCTTAGCTTAGAAAAGCTATTGAGAAAAATATTGCTGTAAAACTGTAGAAACCAAAAACAAGATTATGTTAAATGAATTGTTAAATGTTAAAATGTGAATTGGTCAGTTCTTGACTACATACAACAAAATCCACTGAAGGTAGTTTAAACCCAGTGGGTTTATTCAGGTATTTAGATAGCTCACAAAATAATTGCCTGATCTTCTAGAAGTACACCCCAAAACCATACTCCAGAGCTGGACCATCACATTGTGGCTGCCAGTGCCAGAATCAGGAAGCTGCTGAATGAGGAGGCCACATCCCTGGCTGCAGCTCCAGGACCGTGCCACTTGTGCCATGTCCCATGCAAGCATGTCTGCTTTCCTTCCCATGTAATGCAGTTGCAAATTAAAGGCTCAGTTTAGTGCATCTGGTTGGACAGAGCCTACAGGAACGTAAACTCCTAAAAGCAAATGAATCTGGGAAATGTCCATAGCTTTCCAGGCTCTACAATTCAGGAAGTCATGCTAGGAAGGAGTTGGAGTGTTGAGTAAGCTACTGTGCTGTACCTGGACTTAAATCTTCACTTTATCAATGAGGAAGTTTTGTTCAATGTTAAAAGCATCAAACTGCAAGTAAAGAAATTATATACAGGTGAATAGTCATCTTTTCTCAAGATAAATTTAGGAATTAACAATATATATTTGTTTCTATTTTAACATTTGTACATATTTGTGGGGTACAATTTGGTGTTTCAATACGTGCATGTACTGTACATTGACTTAGAATAGATAGCATAGCTTTCCATCTGTTAATCTACCATTTCCCCTCCTGGCCTCTAGTAACCACTATTCTACTCTCTTCTTCTCTGAGAACTATTTTTCTTTTTTTTTTAGATTCCAAATAAGAGGGAGATCATGCAGTATTTTTCTTTCTGGGCCTGGCTTACTTTATT